AGCACAAGTGAAAAATAAGAGAGAAAGAGGAAAAAAAAGAGGGGGTCTATTGCTCTGTGCTAACCACCACCCTACCTATCAGGTACCGCCACTGGAGAGTCGCCCTGTCTCTGGCTTGCTCCCTGCTCTGTATACACTGGAATTCCTGAAGCTCTCCTCCTCTTCCATGTACTTTACCTCCTTAGCTCTAGTTCATATCCTGCTCACTTTCCTTCACCACAAGTATGTTGGCACGGTTTCTTTGTCTTCTGTTGGGAATTCCTTGATGTTGTCTTCCTGTGGGCCTCACCCAGAGTCACTGCTAACTTCATCTCAAAATGGCCCTGCTGTGCCATGCTGTCTGCCAGGGTACCTCTACTCTGTATCTCTCCCCGTTCACTGCTGTCATTCAGTTTCTTTTTCCGATCGGTACTTGATCTAATTCTGTATCCTTTCATTTGAAGCTCAGGGTTCCAGGGTTGTCATCTATGTCTGTTTCACTTTGTTTCTCGGGTCTTTGCTGTAGAGGGATGGCATAGTGCATCTTGACTAGGCTGCCATCTTGAATCTCCTGTCTGTCATTATTATTTAACACTGGAAGCTGAAACTGACATATGAGGGTTAGCAGCTCAGTGATGATGAGCTGCTACTCCATCCACCAAATCCATGGAAGACATTGCTAATCTGTCATCATGTTGTGTACAGTAGAGCCAGGACTCAGCTTTGACATTTCTTAATGTGACACTCCAGGCCTCAAGATGAAACTTGTTTGCAGATGCTTCAATAGGCCTATTTATTGTTGGGTACATCAGGACCAGTCTATTGTTATAAAGTACTGCTTAGCGCTTAGAGAGCTCTGGCTCTCATTTAAGCTCTAACAAAACAGATGCGGTCTCTGTGACAGCATGGAGGTCTCAGGGTTGGCTACTGTCTACTCCCCTCATAATAATCCTCCCACCACTGCTGCCGCACCATCCTCATCTGTAAGTGATTTACTCCTCTGCCTCTCAGAGGGGTACCAGACCAATCCAGAATCCCCACCTATTTTCCCTTGAAACAAATGTGGCAAGAGGCCTCTCTGTACAGGTCATCCTCACTGTAACATGCTCTTTCCTCATTAATTGCAATTCATGAAGGAATTACAAGGAACACGGACTGCAAATCCCCTGACAACCTCACTGAAGTCATGCCCCTCAGGGGATGCACTGTTTCTCAGCTGGTGCAGCTAAATGGTAAAGGCCACAAAAGGAGCTATGTGTCTCTCCAAGCTAAAATCACATATGGAATTATTTCTCTGCAACCCTCTTAAGAAGCCTGTAGAATTGGCAGTTCTTTCCGAAGGCACCGCAGAGTAGTCCATGCGGATGTAGGGGTCTGTAAGGCATGTGTCAAGATTCCTTCAGTGGAGTGCGCTATGCACAAGAAACTTCTGTGTGTGGATTTTAAGTCAAGACTCAGCATGACATTGTGGATTGTACGAGGAAGACCTCAAGCAGCTCATTTACCACACAGAAAACAGGCACTTGGTGTTTAATAGACCTCGCTAATGAACGAGTCCCATGGCCCCTGGCTGGACCTGGCTTCCCAGCGCTCTGCTAGCCTGCCTCCCACACATCTGTAAATTCGTCAGGCTATAATGGATGGATGGCTGGTGCCGGCAGAGGCTGAGGTCTAAGCCTCTCTCTCTGGAATACATAGAGATCTCAAGTCATTAATAATTCATTCTGAAGTAATGAACAAAGCCATACCAAGTTGAGAGCAGTAATAATCAAATGACAGATCAATTTATTACTTCAGTGTGCCAAAAGATAATGGTAGTTAGTAATGAAAGGAGCAGCTTTTTTTCCCCAAAAAAGTTTCATAAGAGTTACAGCAATGTGCTTTTTAACTTCTAAAATAAAATGGATCATTACAAGGGAAATGAATTCTGTTAGGTAGCCTCAAGCCTATTTATATTCAGAGTTGCTTACCCAGAATTACGTACCTTTTTTCCGAATGCCTTCAGGCATTGGGACCTGCAAATCAGAGTAATTGTTACTCATTAATTAAATCTAAGAATCGGGAACACAACTCCAGACATTGAAAAGGGAAGTTGGGATAGTTGAGACACAGTCCCCAAAAAATCATCAATAATAATTTGAGGTTTTATGAGTAAGTAGCTGGGTTGGGAATAATTGCTTTATGTCTACACAGAAGCTCCCATCTTCTCTTAACACCTCAGTGAACATTCATTGTGCTGCTTCTGTGCCAGGCACTGTGTTCAGCACTGGTGGTACCAAGTAAAATAGCACAGTCCCTATCCTCGGGCAGTGGGAGAGACATGATCACACTGTAATACATGCAAGAGCAGGCCACCCTGCCTCTGTGAGGGGTGGGGGACTGGGGACAGGCAAGAGAGAAATGGAAGAAAGAAGGAGGAGCGTTTGAGCTGAGCTTTTCAGATTATCGGTTTGCCAAAGAAAGAAAGAAGAGTAAGAACATTCTAGGCAGAAGGAATGGCATGGACAAAATCAGAGAGTTGTGAAAGTGGAAAGAAGATGGGTAGTGAAGTATTATTGTAATAATTACTATACTTCCCATGCATTATCACATCAAATCTACACAAAAACCTAATGAAGTAGGAGTTTTATTCCCACTCTTTTTTTTTTTTTTTTAATATGAGGAATCCAAAGCCTAGACATATTGAGTTACTTGTCCAGGAACGCAGAGTTGGCAGGTGGCAGAAGAAGACTTAGTGGTGAAGTTGGAGAAAGGTGTGTTATTTTGTAAGTGTGAACTTTATATTGAAAACAGTGGAGCCCACCAAAGGTTTGTAATCATAAGAACAATTAAACAATAGAAGCATTGTTGAGAACTGCACGTGTACTGTACCATTGTGTTCACTCCCAACAGCTGAGTGACGTATAGGACTATTGTGGTTTCCAGCAGAGGAAAGATCAGATCTGAGTTTTAGGCAGTAACTCATAGGGTGGGCAGGATTAAGCTGAACCCCAAGATTTTAGAGTCAGGGAGCCCAGGAAGGAAGCTCTTGGTTTAGTCAGGTGTAGCGTTGAGAAGCCTGATGGTGAAAACTGATCATCATGCAAACCGTATATTTTTGTATTGGTCTACAATTTAAAAGTGCTTTTATACATAAATAGCTTGTTGATTCATTTGCACAAGGGACTTTTGTGACAAGAGAGGTAAGTATACTGACCTAGCCTATGTGGGAGGGGGAGTAGAAGGGCATGGAATTCACTTCCCTCACACAGGAGTTGATATTGACAGCAGTGATGTTAAAAGCAGCTTGTAAATATGCATAACGGCTGACTGACTGAGGCACAGAACCAAAGGCTCTCCTCCTTGCCATATAGAACTTGACCATCTGCATTAACACTGTCAGACTGGAAACGTGATGCAGTTCTGGGCAGAATGAAGAACTCTAAGTAAAATGAGGAGACTCAGATAGAACTAAAAAAGCATTTTAAAAATATCCTTATGTGGACATGAAACAGGCCCAGAGATTGGTGATAACATTTTCTTGCTGCAGGTGTTCCTTAGCAGTCAGAAGCAAATTCTCTTCCTAACTGGGCTGGAACACAGTTAAAGTTGCATAAACCTAACCACACCCTGCCCCTTCAAGAAGAGGAAGTTTTTAATCAAGTTAAACTCTCAGCCCCAGAAGAGTAAAGAAAAGTACACCTTTGTTGATACAATTGGTTGATGCAGCATTTCAATAAAGTATTTCAGCATCTAACCCAGTAGAACCTCTTTTCCTCCTACAAAATAGACGTATGCAAGAAAACAGTGCAGGCATTTATAGAATTCTGTGAAAAAATACCCAGTATAAATAGCCCTAAATGCAAGGGAGGTAGGTCTGTGCAAACTGCCCTTCTCTGCCTGATTTCTCTGTAGTTTCAGGTTAGTAATGAATAGCTTCCTTCTTCTAACAGGTGATTTGGAGAAATTTCTTAATAATACTGAATGGCCTTAACTTACAGCTTTTCTTGTTGCCTATAGATAATTGGTATATTTTTATATGCAGGCCAGCAGATGAACAATTGAGCTTTATAGCTAGGTCACTTTGGCCTGGACTTAGGGTTCAGATTCATGTTTTGACTAGTTGTTTATCCAAAAATATACATACGTATTTAGGAAATTACTCAGACCCAGCTACTGCTGACACTGGTGTTCCTTAGACTTAAAGTGTAAGTGACAGTATAAACACAGCCATCTACGTGGATACAGTAGTGCATTTTTATTTCTGTTTATACCACATGGTTCTTGTAATGTGAGCCACATGTTTAATGTGACAGGGCTTTAATACTTAGAGCCTAAAGTGCTGAATTTCCTGACTTGGTTTTAAATATTCAGATCTGCCCATTTTAAAAATTAAGTCTGTTTCGTGCCTATGTTTACAAATGTATTAAAGCTGTCAAGAGTTGTTATATTTGCATTAGAGAAAATGCTAATGATTACAGTGGTTTAAAAGCAACCAAGTACAGAAGTTATACCTAAGAGGGATTAGCAGTTACCTGTACTTGCAGAACAGAGATTTGCATATGCAAAGGTACATACTCTGGAAGGCAGTTGCTTTGGTTCAAAGATTCGTTGTTTCAGGCAAAATGGAAATTATAAAGATGGCCATATCTTGAAGCAACAAAATCACCCGAACACTGAAGGTTTCAGAAACTTTGGTAGACAAATATACGAGTAGAAAAGTCTCTCTATTGACTTCAGGGTGTCCTGAAATGGTCCAGGAAGCCCTGGTGGTGCAGTGGTTAAGAGCTATGGCTGCTAACCAAAAGGTCAGCAGTTTGAATCCACTAGCTACTCCTTAGAAACTCTACAGAGCAATTCTACTCTGTCCTGTAGCATTGCTATGAGTTGGAAATCAACTTGACGGCAGTGGGTTTTGGGTAAGATGGTTCAGGTGCTGGCTCCTTCCAGATGAATCTGGAGGCAGGAAGAGTGTAGGGAAGTCAGCTATCTGTTATTACACTATTTCCTTCATTTGTGTGCTTTCTTTTCCTTCTTCCCAGTGTTGCTAATAACCATAAGCAGAATTTGATGACGGTGGCAAACCTTGGCGTGGTATTTGGACCCACCCTGCTGCGGCCTCAGGAAGAAACAGTGGCAGCCATCATGGATATAAAATTCCAGAACATTGTCATTGAGATCCTAATAGAAAATCATGAAAAGGTAATACATAATTGTTTACTCTCAGAGACGAATTTTCTTTGGAGGAAGCTGCATTGGAATTGGCATTCAGGGTTGACTCAAGTTTGCATCACTAGTAGCTCTTAAACTGTTATGATGATGAAGTTGCTGCTGGTGGTAAAATGGTGATGACAGTCATCATGGTGGTAGCCATGGGGTCATATATGAAGCACTTTATATATGTCGTTACTTTATCCTCACAACAATCCAGTGAAAGAGGTTTATTATGAACCTCATTTTGAAAATGTCCTTCATCTATTTTTCTACTTGGTTTTGTGAATCTATGAGAGCTTTTTATATTAGGAATATTAAACTTGGAGTATTTGTGTTACAAATATCTTTTCCTAATCTATAGTTTTCCTTTGATTTTATAAATTTTATAAATGATATTTTTTCATACACTTATTTGTGTTTAATTTGTATAGATGGCCATATGGATGGGCTGTCTTTTCCTTTAGGACATTGTGGTTTCTGGACTTGCTTAAGAAAGTCTCTCCCACCCCCATGTTATATGAAACATGTCAACACAGAGTGCCCCAGTAAAACTGGGGCTAGAGTCACACATCTGTCCCATCTCATTGCTTCTAGTAGCAAACTCCTGTGAGCTTCTCAGAACCAGCAGGATTCCCTAGAGCACCATTTGACAGCCAAAGCTCGGGGACGACAAAAAAAAAAAAAAAAAAAAAAAAGCAGCTCCTCTTAAATAATGGCCTATAATGGGGAATTAATCGTACTAGAGAACCTGCAAAATAAGTCTAGAATCTGACTTCTCACCACTTTGGCTGATAACTCCCTAATGTAAGCCACCATTATCTTCTGTCTGAATTTTTGCAGGAGCCTCTTACTTTGTTTCCCTGCTTCCACCCTTGGCCTGTTTATTCTAATATCAGCCACCAGAGTGAGACTTAAAAATATTAAGTCAGATCATATCGTTCGTCTGCTAATACCCACCCGTTTCACTCAGAGTTCTTACAAGAGCCTGTAAGATCCTACAGTCTCTACTCCCCCCACTGTCACTTACCTGATTTCATCTCCCCTTGTGTCCTTCCTGCAGCCACGTTGACTGCCTTGCTCATCCTTTGATGCAGCAGGCATACTCCCACCTCAAAGCCTTTGCAGTTGCTCTTACCAATGCCTGGAACACTATTCCTCCATAAACCCACATGGTGTGTTTCCTTGCCTCCTTCAAGCCTTCTAAGTGAGGCCTACCTAGATCATTCTATTTAAAATTGCAAACTGTTCCCACCTCCAGCCCTCCCCCTCCCCCTCCGCTTTACCCTGCTCCATCTCTCTCCATAGCATTTAACACTTTCTAACTTACTATATTTACTTATTTTTTAAGTCTATTGCCTTTCTGCCCTCCACTAGAATGTTTACTTCATAAAAGCATAGCCTTTTGTGTATCTTGTTCAGTGCTTTGTCTCTAGTGCTTCAGAAGGCACTGAAATATGTATTGGATGAATGAATTGGCCCTTGAGGTAGCTAGCTTCCAAAATGGCTCCTACTGATCCTCACCTCCTGTGATTCACTCTCTCGTCCCCTCCCACACTGGATAGGACTGGCCAAGGTGATCAGTAGGACTCCCTAGGTGGTGCAACTGGTTAAATGCTCTGCTACTAACTGTAAGGTTGGTAATTCGAATCCACCCAGGGTCACCTTGGAAAAGATAGGCCTGGTGATCTGCTTCTAAGCGATTGCAGCCATTGAAAATCTGATGAAAAACAATTCTGATCTGAAGCACATGGCGTAGCCATGAGTCAGGATCGACTTGATGGCAATTGGTTTAGCATTTTTTGGTTATATAATCAATAGGATGTTGTAGAAGGAAAAGTATGTGACTTCTGAGACTAGTTGTAAAAGATATTGCAGCATTTGCCTTGGTTTATGGAATTGCTTACTCTGGGCAAAGCAAGCCACCGTGTTGTGAGGACAGTCACACAGCCCAGTGGGGAGGAACAGAGGCCTCCTGCCAACAACCAAATGAACTTGTTAGCTATTAAACGAGTCCCCTTGGAAGTAAATCCTCCAGCTTTATTCAAGCCCTCAGATGACTGCAGCCCCAGCCAACATCTTGTCTGTAACCTCATGAGAGACCCTGAGCTAGAACTACCCAGCTTAGCCACTCTGGCTTCCTGACCCACCAAAACTGGGCTAGATTATAAATATTTGCTATTTTAAGCTAAAAGATTTTGGAGTAATTTGTTCTAGAGCATTATATAACTACTAAAGAGCCTCTGAATATAAGCTCTCAAAAGGTAATAGGGATATCTGCAAAGTTGCTTAAGCAACATAGTCTTCCTCTTACATGGTTAATAAGAGATATAGAAATCAAATTATATATTTGAGGAAACTACCTCCCCTCTTCCACAATCAACACCCATGGAAGCAGCAGTCAAGAAATCAAATGATATATTGCACTGGGCAAATCTGCTGCAAAAGACCTCTTTAAAATGCTGAAAAGCAAAGACGTCACTTTGAGGACTAAGATGCACCTGACCGAAGTCATAGTATTTTCTTTCGCCTCGTATGCAAAAGCTGGACGATGAATAAGGAAGGCCGAATAAGAATTGATGCCTTTGAATTATAGTGTTGGCAAAGAATACTGAATATACCATGGACTACCGGAAGAACAAACAAATCTGTCTTGCAAGAAGTACAGCCAGAATGCTCCTTAGAAGCAAGGATGGTGAGACTTTGTATCATGTACTTTGGACATGTTATCGGGAGGGATCGGTCCTTGGAGAAGGACATCATGCTTGGTAAAGTAGAGGGTCAGTGAAAAAGAGGAAGACTCTCAACAAGATAGATTAATACAGTGGCGCAACAGTGGGCTCAAACATAGTAACGATTATGAGAGTGGTGCAGGACTGGGCAGTGTGTTGTTCTGTTGTACATAGCGTTGCTGAGTCAGATGCGACTCTATGGCACCTAACAACAACAACTTTCCCTCTTTCCTCAACCTTGGAACCCCGTCTACTCACCTCCCTCAAATCAGGTGTAGGAACAGTTTATGTTATATACGATAAATATGAACGTGTGAAAAGGGAATCGAATAGAATAACAGTTAATAACATGGATTCAAATCCAGGCTCTATCACTTACTAGCTGTGTGACCATGAACAGATTACTTAACCTCTCTATGCTCATAAAAGTACTTTTCATACAGTCTAACTGCTGTAACAAACAACCCCAAAATATCAGTGACTCAGGACAACAGAAGTTTGTTTTTTGCTCACATAACAGTTCAGTGTGGGTATTTTGAGGGAGGCCTTCCATGTGGTGATTCAGCATTCCAGGCCCCTTCCATCTTGTAGCTCTGCCTTCCACTCTGCAGATAGGTGAAGTGAGAGAGCATGGAGGATGGAGTAAGAATTCATGTGCCAAACCTGGAAGATGCTTCCTTTTATTTTCCCTCACATTCCATTGGTCAGACCTCAGTCCCATGGCCACAGTCCCATGGCCACACGTAACTGCAGGGGAGGCTGGGAAAAGCAGCCTAACTGTGTGTCCAGAGGAAAGGGGAGCCAGTGTGATGACCACTAGCCAGTCTGCTGCATTCCTTCAGTCGGTTTGCTGTGAGAATTAAAAGAGGTAGTTTATATAAAGGACTTAGCCAAGGATCTGGAATGTAGCAAGGTTCAATAAATGTTAACCATTATTTTTATCAATCTCAACAGAATTCTCTGGAAATAGATCTCAAATCCAAGTCCCTCTCCAAATGTCACATCTGCCGCCCAACAGTACTTTTTAAATAACTTAATCTTTTCTTAAAATAGTTTTAAATGTTGAGACAGATCTCTAAGTAAGCAGTTTGATTATGTGTCTGTCCCTAAAGGGTATATTTGAGCTTTTAGTAGGCAGTGTGTAATGACTTGAACTGTAATTATTTTAGGTGTCCTTGGACATTCAAAGCCAGAAAACATATTCCAAAGTAGCATGGCAGAAAGAAAGATCTAATGCTACTAGTAACAATATTGAAACTCTTGTAAGCAAGCAGCCATCTCTGCTTTAGACACAAAGTATAGAAACAGAAATGAAATATGAAATGCTTGACCAGGCTTATGAATATATGGGTAAGAGACTGGTGAAAATACTCATCTGGCTTGGGGGATTATAAATTATGTTACTCGCTGATATTTATTTGGCAATGTGCATATAAAAAGGGTATTATGATGCTTCATTATATGTTCTTCTCCATTAATCTATGCCAGAGAGTAAGATGAATCACAAGTAAGATTTATGTTCCTGGGGGAGCTGGTGAAGGCATGCGTGTGAAAGCTTTCCAGGCAAAAGGCCACACCAACGTGTGTGTCTTCAGCCCCAAGGGAGTTTTTAATCTGATGTCCTTGATGGCCCACAGTTATAGGCAAGACCTGTATATGTACATTATTTTGGGAGAAAGCCCTTAATATTCATCAGGTTTACCTTTCTGGTAAAAAATTTAGAATAAATTTTTAAAATGTAGCTTCAGGCATGTCTTGGCATGGAGAGCAAATGCCACCTCAGCCTTGTCAGGAAGTCTGTGGTTTTCACCTCCCAGGCTTTCCAAGCACCCACGACCATGCTGTGGCCCCTGGTGTTCTAGAGACAACCCTTTGACTGTTCATATCTGCCAATAGAAATTGCCTTTAGTCATCAAATCTAGAGCATTAGTGTGTTCTCAGAAACTTGTCAGAGACTTGATCTTTAAAATTCATGATATTAACATCTCAGTTAACAGTATTTAATGAGCATTCCGTTAGATTTTGTGTAATTTTCTTGAAATACACAAATGTCCAGGAATGACTTCTTTTCTGTCTAATCTTGAGTATCAGAGTTGGAGAAAATCCTGAAATCCCTTTTGAAGAAATGCTTTCCAGCAACACCTTAGCCACCTGCCCACCAGTAAGAAGCATATGATGGCATATGACACTGTGCTTGAAACAACCCCTAACACAGGACTTAAATATACATCCCCCAAGTTCCTGGTATAACATGCTCCC